CCCCCCCCCCTTCTGCTTTCCTCTGAGTGAATCTTTGTGATATGGTCATACGGCCACATTGACCTACAAGAGGGCTGAGTGAATGAGAGTGGGTGGCTTAGAAGAGGCCGAGAAGAGAAAAATATGCAAACATCACTGTCAAGAGCGGGAATAATATTTAACTGGAAAATGGCCTATTACTGGGCCACGCACTTTTAGGAGCCATGTGCAATTCACATGCCCAGCCTAATTTAAATTAATTCCTGGCTCTTCTTCCATTTCTAATCATTCTTATACTCCTATGTGGCCTTTGGGGAAACCCTAATAAAATCAGCTCCATTACAGGCTGCCTGCCTTCCTTGTTCTCGTCAGCACTGGGGGAGGCAGAATCTAAATATTATTTGATAGTTGTTGTAATGGTGATGTTGTCTGATGTCAAACAGTGTTGTTCTAAGCGGAAGTTTGAAAACCCACCCAGAGTCAGTAAACCCTCCATGCAGTGGAGGCCAGGCTGAATCCGTGGCCCTGGTGCAACATCAACCGAAACTTGGTGGGGGGGCGGTGATGCCCAAGTCATTCTGATTAACAGAGGCAGGAGTACTAGGTCGCTGGACCAGCCAGCCTCGGCGTCACTGGGCTGGTCGTGGCTCCAGGATTCTGAGCCTTCTGGCGGCTGATGCAAGGACAAGGCCCTGGTGGGTACTTAAAGGGCAAACCTCTCATTATTTTGTTTTCTGTTTAAAGCCCTGAGGATATAGAATTCCGGTATACAGCAGTAATTTCGTCTCTGGATTAAGCAGTCTAAATACCCTTTCAGCCTCACTGGGATAGAGAGAATATTTGGTCTAATCGCTGGCACCTAGGAGTTTTAGTCAGAGCACTTTTTCTATATAATTTTTGCTTCATGCATGAGGAAACAATTTGACTGCTCTACTGGGCATTTCATTCAGGAGATGGAGGGCTATCCGGGGGGGACCCCGTGTATTTCCTCTGTGAAGGAAATACTTTCTTCTTTATCTTCTAAAATAAAAGTATCAGTCTGAGATGAAATGGACTTCCCTTTGACAGAATCCCTTCCAGAAAGGCCAATCATCTAATGGCCAGAGACCAGGTGTGTGAATTCTCTCCTCAGAGACTACTAAGGGAGACCACACAAATCTTGCCTGAACAAATGGATGATGGACACTCTGTCCGGAGGGACATGCTTCATTATTTATCACTCCCACCGGGGATTTTTATCCTCACCCACCCCCCCCGCCCGCCACCCGTATCTCCCTATATATACTAAAACAACAACTGCTTCCCAACAAAGGCTTTCCACTTGGGATTTCCAGAAGGGGAAGGAAAGAAATGTCAACAATACCAGCGAAGGATAATAGCAATGATTGGAATAATTTCTCGAGGCCTTATTCTGTGTCACGCCACACTGGGGAAAGTAGTATTTCATTTCATCTTTCAGGCAAAGGTAGGGTTGATGTTAAGAACGATACTGGTGAGGGAAAAAAACCAAACCCTTCAAGAAAGTATTTTCTTTTTTTAAAAATTTTTTTTCCAACGTTTATTTATTTTTGGGACAGAGAGAGACAGAGCATGAACGGGCGAGAGGCAGAGAGAGAGGGAGACACAGACTCGGAAACAGGCTCCAGGCTCTGAGCCATCAGCCCAGAGCCCGACGCGGGGCTCGAACTCACGGACCGCGAGATCGTGACCTGGCTGAAGTCGGACGCTTAACCAACTGCGCCACCCAGGTGCCCCTCAAGAAAGTATTTTCAACAAAGTATTATTTCAACAAAGTAACATTGTACAGCTCATCCTTCTCATTTTATCTGAATCCACACGAGCATTTTCTATCCCTCCCATCCACATGAGGGGAGGCTGCAAAGGAGACAGTAACACAAGTGTGAACTTCAAGAATCTTATAATCGCCTCATCCCCTTTCACTCTGTTTTGGTCTACCCTATTACCAGCTGTGAGAGAATAAATGGACATGAATCTCTGTGACTGAAAAATACTTTTGGTTCCAGATGATTCTCTCAGAGGGGAAGTTTAAGACCCATTAGAAAGGCCAAGCAGTTATGGCATCATGAATCGGTAAGATCATGTGACTCAAACTGAGAACCCAGTGCAGTAATTTAATTGATACTGGCCTTTGGAGATTTAGAATGATTTGTACGTGTGTCGTCAGGGTCCTAGAACTGCGGGCCGTGGGCCTGGTCCTACACATTCCGTGCACTTTGCTGCACTCTATGGAAGAGTGTATTTCATTTTCCCTCCCAGCAGGACATTTAACAAGCTGCTCAGTGGCGGGCTTCAACTCTCTGCTTCTGTGTCCATCCCCTCCCAGGGCTTCCCCAAGCAGTGCTGGTTAATGACACTATTTCAACTGGGGCCCCTCTCATTGTTGCCTGGAATTTGCTACATCAATTGATACATGCACTGAGCTCTTTTTGTCCTCTATCTTGTAGAACACAGATATCGCAATGGGTCAGGGGCACAGCTAACGCGGAGAGGAGGAAAACCAAGCCTCAGAGAAATGAAGAGTGAGTCCTGACTCTGGGTGTGGCCCTCGTGGGGTGGAGCTGAGAATAATTCTGCAATCATCTTTTCCATTTAGAGAATAATGCTGAAAACCCACCGCTAATCCAGTTTTCTCGAGAGTCGTATCAGATCTTTGTTGTTTGAGGCGATTTTCTCCCTATTGTGTGGACTTCTTACCACGGAACCCTGTGAGAATCTGGCCTGAAGATAATGCCATGTTAGCCACCCTGACCTGATTCCTCCCGGTTTGGGGAACCTGTAATTTTAAGCCCCTCATATGCCACGTCCCCATTTGGCACCTGCTGAAAGTCACGGTCCTTGTAGATAACTGCTTTTCTTTCTCTAAAGACAAATGCAAGTGAAAAAAGGACAAGTATCGGCCCAAAACTGAGGGCCTTGCGGAGAAGTCCTGATAAGTCTCCAAGTGCTATTGGATCCCTGATGCAGTTCACACAGGGCCCACCTGCAGCCAGGAGTTGACATGCAAAATCCCAACAACGTAAGTGCGCTTGAGAAAAAGAATTTACCTTGGAGTCAAGCTGCTGCATGTATGACCAAAGATACTCTATGTTGGCTCCAAAAGGATGGACATGAAGAAACGTTGATATGATGCCTGGGTTAAAAAGACAAACATTGGGCATTACTTCAAGGCAAGTCAGAGTCAGAGTCAGATAATGTCCTTTACTAACCCCAGCGATGGTTTTGTCAGCCTGAGTTACAGTCTCACCATTTTCAGCAGCACTCAACAAGCATTTAATAGCAGCCCGTTCTGAAGACAGTCATAGTAACATGGCAAACAGAACACTCTATCTGCTGGAATAACAGTAGTTAGAAAAGCTAGACTCTGAGATAATATACAGATGAATGAAGGTATTTCTAAACAAAGACTCCTGGAAGCATTTCAGCTACCAATTTTATGCTTGATTTACCAATATAAAATTGTAGTTATTGGGAGGATAAAATTCTCTCTTTTCTTTCCCTCAGTGGGCTTTGCAGTATGAAAATGGCTCATACAGCTGGTGTCAGAGATCACACGGCCTCCGATTTCCCTGATAATTACAGCTGCCAGTTATGAAAAGTATTTAATCCATATTTCCCCTAACTGCCACTGAAGGAAGCACAAATCCTTTCCGAAGCCTTTATTTCCCCCTCGTTGTTGCTGGTGTTTAAAGGGAACCGGCTTACTCTCTCCTCCCTGCTGTAATTTACAAGATCATTTTAAAAGGTCCAGGAATGGATGGTTTGGCTGGAGTCTGAGTATAAATCAGAAGTCTTTTCCATTGTGAAAATCAACTGTCAACATTGTACTGACAAATGAAAAGCCGGGGTTGGTGTCGGGGCTGAAGTGAAAGCATTACCTCTCTATCCTCCCTGCTCCTAGATCCAAAATCAAAATAGTGAAAATGAGGACGTCGACTTCATAGACTGTATGCTGCTGTTTGTTATGAAACGGTGTTCAGACTGACATTGTTTGAGTTCTCTTTTAAGCCCTCACATTGTTTATTGGGAAATTCTGATGCCTGAGAGCTGAAGGTCAAAAAAAAGAGCTGCATTTGTTTGACACGCAGGTGGAGTGAGCCCTAGACGAGCACATCGTTCTTGCACCAGGTCACCCTGGGAATCGCAGGCTGACCCTGGATTGATCTGGGATAGGGTCTCATGGCCTCCTGACCTCCTGTGTGATGCTTGGGATGCTCTGGGATGAGTGCCAGCATTTAAAGAAAAACTCCCAGTTTAGCTTTAGTCCGAGGACAGAGAACCGAAGTGTCTAGACCACTGCTCTCAAAGACCTGTCTTCAGAACACTGCTTATATGAGGTTTGTACTGGTTTACAGTGAAATGAGGAAGAGAGAAATAATTAATCGTATTTCTCCATAATGCTAAAACCTCAGTTTTCAGAGACCTGTTTTTCTTGCGATGTAAAGAACTACCATTAAAAAAAAATGTTTTGAGGGGCGCCTGGGTGGCTCAGTCGGTTAAGCGGCCGACTTCGGCTCAGGTCATGATCTCGCGGTCCGTGAGTTCGAGCCCCGCGTTGGGCTCTGTGCTGACAGCTCAGAGCCTGGAGCCTGTTTCAGATTCTGTGTCTCCCTCTCTCTGACCCTCCCCCATTCATGCTCTGTCTGTCTCAAAAATAAATGTTAAAAAAAAATTAAAAAAAAATGTTTTGAGAGAGAGAATAAGCATGAGCAGGGGGCAGGGGGCACAGAGAGAGGGGGAGAGAGAATCCCAAGCAGACTCTGCACTGTCAGCACAGAGCCTGATGTGGGGCTCGATCTCATGAACCGCGAGATCATGACCTGAGCCAGAATCAGAAGTTGGAAACTTTAACCCACCGAGCCTCCCAGGCACCCCAAGCACTACCATTTTATTCTGAAATTATATTCCTTTTTTTGCTAAAATGTTCTTTTATGAAATAATGCAAGTGGTAAAAGGTAATATTGATAGTTTTAATATCTTTAAGTGGCAAATAGCCATTTTAATACACTTAAGTGGAGTTGTTTTATTCCCCTCCTTCTAGTTTGTTAATTTCCATTTTTAAATTTATAGATCTGGCAACTACTTCCCTGTGTCTTTGAAATTCTCAAATCTGGTGAAGTGACACTGTAAGTAATTCTGTTACTAATGAGTTCGAGTATAGAAGCTCATGAAGGACTTAAAAAATAAGTTTTTTTTAAAATAACACTTTTATTTGCATTTGTTAAGTGGGAGAGAGGGGGCAGAATTCTTTTTTTTTTTTTTAATGTTTATTTATTTTTGAGAGAGAGAGAGGGAGAGAGAAAGCACAAGCAGGGGAAGGGCAGAGAGAGAGGGAGACACAGAATCTGAAGCAGGTTCCAGGCTCTCAGCTGTCAGCACACACCCCGATGCGGGGCTTGAACTCACGAACTGTGAGATCGTGACCTGAGCCAAAGTTGGATGCTTAACCGACTGAGCTACCCAGGGGCCCTGAGGGGGCAGAATTCTTAAGGGGAAACTCCTGTTTCAGGATGGTGAATGGGGTTCTCCTTGCTGTCCCAAGCTGAGGACCGGTGGCATTACGTCCACTAGTTTTCACAGGGAGCCTCCAATAAATGGTAGGCAGACCCCTCAATCCCCCATTAGAAGACAAGGGGGAAGAAGGAGCAGTCACCTCTGGCCTTGTGAGGAGGCGAGGGTGTTCCTTTCTTCTCCTGGCACACAGGTTCTCCCAGGCAGGGGAGGGGGAAGCTCCGAGAGCGTGGCTCACAGAGCCAAGAGGGGTGCTGCAAGATGGGGGCAGCATTCGCTTCCTTGGTTGGATGTCGGCTTAGGCAGCAGACTGACCGGTCAGCCTTTGGGGTGACGAGGATGTGTGGTTTTCCACCGGGGTAAGGGAGCATCTTAGACGGTGGGGAGGCTTGAGTAGTCTTATGAGTAAACCACCCCAAAGGCCCCAGCAAATAGAGAAAGACATTTTTCATATTAATCTCTCTACCGGACAGAGACTTAGCACCATCTCCTAGATAACCCACAGCCTCTCCTGTAAACATCTATGGAAGGTGGTGCGAAGTGAAAGGTCTTCGGCAGTATAAACGGAACGAGTCAGAAGAGGATGTGTGTGGGCGATGGGGGAGAAGTTGATGACTTTAGGCTAGGAGACGAGGTGTTAAAAGAGGAAATTTAGGGATACCAGTAATGGGAGGACCTGGGGTGGCTGCTTTTGTTGCTTCTGTGAGCTGGGTATCTCTCTGTGTACACACTCCCTCACTGGTAACGGTCTGTCTGCCGGGCCCAGTCTTGGGTTCCCCAGGGAACTCTGCCCTCAGAAAGTCTTTGTGTATTCTGGCTCAGTATTGGCAATAGAGTATACATGTACAATAAGTGTATATTGAATGAATTTATCCTCTAGAACTAAGACTAGCCAGTATACTTGTTTAAAATTTCTACTGTTCTATTATAGGTAAATGGGGATAAATAAGAACATTAAAAATGGCTACAGTACTAACTGGTGATGGGGCAGTCTTTCAAAGATCAGGTAACTTTGAGACATTATTCACTCCTGATTCCTTCCCTATTATGGATTCAGAAGGACAGAGCAACCTGAATGTTTTGGTCATGGAAACTTTTTATTTATTTTATAACTTTAATTTTTTATTTTTTTAATTTATTATTTTTTAATTTATATCCAAGTTAGCATGTAGTGCAACAATGATTTCAGGAGTAGATTCCTTAATGCCCCTTACCCATTTAGCCCATCCTCCCTCCCACAACCCCTCCAGTAACCCACTGTTCGTTTTCCATATTTAAGTCTCTTATGTTTTGTCTCTGTCTTTATTTTTTGCTTCCCTTCCCTTATGTTCATCTGTTTTGTATCCTAAAGTCCTTATATGAGTGAAGTAATGATATCTGTCTTTCTCTGACTAATTTCACTTAGCATCATACCCTCCAGTTCCATCCACGTAGCTGCAAATGGCAAGATTTCATTCTTTTTGATTGCCGAGTAATACTCCATTGTATATACATACCACATCTTCTTTATCCATTCATCCATTGATGCACAGTTGGACTCTTTCCATACTTTGGCTGTTGTTGATAGTGCTGCTATAAACATGGGGGTGCATGTGCCCCTGTGAACCAGCACACCTGTATCCCTTTGATAAATAGTAGTGCAATTGCTGGGTCGTAGGATAGTTCTATTTTAATCTTTTGAGGAATCTCCATACCGTGGAAACTTTTTATTTAAATTCTTTGGCTTGGGGTGCCTGGGTGGCTCAGTGGGTTAAGCATCCGACTTTGGCTCAGGTCATGATCTTATGGTTAGTGGGTTTGAGCCCCGTGTCGGGCTCTGTGCCGATAGCTCGGAGCTGGGAGCCTGCTTCAGATTCTGTGTATCTCTCTCTGTGCCTCTCCTGCTTGTGCATGCTCTCTCTCACAAAAATAAACATAAAAAAAGTTAAAAAAAATTCTTTCGCTCATAAAATTAAGGGGGAAAATGCTTATATGATTTCTATATATCTTTCTAAAATCAGTGTAGAAATCCTGACCCACTCATGAATAGCTGTCCTTAGGAGGATATTCGAAATGATCACTGTAGTAGCTGATATTAATAAGCCATTAGCTTTTCTTTATAAAAGTAGAGTGGTTGCACTAGATTCATTTGGGGCCAAAGCAGGTAGTTAATAAAAGCTTCCCAAGCTTTTCGCATGGATGGCAACTAAGCTGTTCAGTATTGCTAGAGATACAGCAGAAATGGGAAACATTAGTCATATCCTCCTGTTCCTTACTCCCACCCTTACCGCTGCCCATCACAGTATCATCACAGGCGCATTAGTCATGCTGAGAAAATGTAGTTTCTAGGCCCTGGTTTTGGATTGGATTCATTGGGCGGGGTGAGGTGGGGCTTCCTGAATAATCAACTAAAGCCTCTTTGTCATTCCTTTAAAAGAACTGGAATATTTCCTGAGGATGGAAAAACAGATAGATACGACTCATAATCTAACGAAAAATGCTACCAACCCAGAAAATGGAGACTGTTTTGTGGTCCTCTGGGAGGCATCTAAAGGCTTGGTAAAAAGAAACACTAACAACAGAGGGTGGAGAACTTAGCCATTACTGAACTGGTGGATCTCCAAAGGGATAGACGCAACTGTT